CAAACAGGCTACATAACTTTTTCCAGCCTCCTTTACAAATATATTACAGGCATTAATATGGCCCACAAAAGATGACCTTACAACTCAAATACACAAGACAAAGCCAGTGCTGACCTTCCAAATTCCCATCTTTCTCAAGAACTCTTCATTGTGTGGGAAATTCTGGGTTTTATCACCCCTTTAGCTATGCTTACGTCAGAAGATTTTTTGTTCAATTGTTTATTTTAAGAAACACATGTAAGAAAACCAATTAGATAAGCATGTATCTCTGCCTAAGTTTCTTCACAAGATTTTAGTATTTCAGCCAAAATCCACTTGGGCTTCTCCAAGAGACGAAGCATCTTTTTCTGACAGGAGTCTGTACTTGCTCTTATACACAGACTTTGTATATAAGATGGCCTCCTACATGTAGCTTCCAGTTTTATCATTACATCAATCCTGCTGATAATGCAACCCTTTCAACAGTGACAGACACTTAAAACTAAATTTGCCTACTTTCTGTAAAATTCTCACTATAGCAGTGTCATGATCGCACTATTCACCCAACACAGATAACCAATTATTCCCCATTCCCAGTGGGGATCTGAGAGAGGTTAGCCTTTTGAAATGAAAGAACAGGCAGACAATTCTAGAGGAAGTATTTAGTGGTGGTCAATCAGAATCACAGAACGATGCAGATCTCTGAAATCCCAATACAGATTCTCTCAAACCCATCTCATTTGGTTAGATTCATCAGCTTTCATTGATAAAAGTAATGGTGCAGATGAAAGGTTTCTGGAAGGATGTTTGACGTGGTACCACATGACATTCTTACACAACTGGTACTGTGGAGAGTCAGTAAAGCACTAAGTGAAAACTGAAAAATAACCTTCCAGGTGTATCACTCAAAGAAACCATTACAGAATAGATGCACTTCACTGTGGGTTTAGCAGTAGCGCTTATTAAGGTCACCATTAGCCTCAGTGTGGTGGACAGACAGTCACTGATGAAAGGATTTGCATATAAAACACTGGCAGACAAGTACACAGGGAGGACATTGCTCTTATATTTAGTGACCTAACCTGCTCCAGAAGATAAACTCATTCAAACAACATTGGTTAATGTAGCTATAGAAACCAGCTACTCATCAATCAAGGCTCTGGACTCCTGCTGAGAATCAGCTTATTGAAGTTTTCAACATCTGACAGTGAGAGTCGGCAGCTCCTGACTGAGCTCTTTATGCAGAGCTGAGGAAGCAGTGAGAACCCATCACTTCCTAATCAGACAACTACTCCAAGAGCCAGGCTGCATCCTGGAGGAACTCTGGGAGAAAAGTGTATTTTCTGTCTCCCTGATTCCCCCTCCCCC